CGCGGGGTGCCAGACCGGGTCAACGGAGGCTGCCTGGCCTGTGCCACGGCTTATTGGGAGGATTTGTTCCTTTAGAAGGTGTAGAGAAATACTATCCAAAACACTTTGGAGTAATCAGCCCTTAATGTAAATGAAGATTTATTATCCTACCGGAAAAAACAAATTATGTTTCTTATTACCAAACGCCTGAAGTACCAATGACCCAACCAGAGCCCTCAAAATTAAATATCCTGGGAGCTACAAGGAACAGATAAAGCAACACGGAAAATTAAATGCGGTTCAGATGCTTCAATAAAACCTTCATCCTCATCATTTGTCACTCAGCACAGCACTCCCCAGGGCCAAATTCTTAAAACTATTGGTCCAGTATTCAGGTATTAGGGTGGGAAAATTGAGGCTCAAGGCCAGCAGGAAGCCCAGGATAGTTTCCTAAAAAGAATTTCTTAAAAGGACTAATAAGGAAAAAAAAATTGCCTTCTACACAAAGAAAAATAATTTCTGCTGAAATAAATTATGCTTTTTAGGAAACTTTAATTTGTCACAGAGGAAGGAGTTTGAAAATAACATCATTTATAGGTTATGGATTTGGTGTATATATAGTTTCCAGTACAATGAAGTCTGGCTTTTAACTTAGACTCCTTTGGTACAAACATTCAGAATGCATTACAACCAATATAGCTGATTTTGGCTATGTGAAAGTGTTTGGCAGAACCTAAGAAAGTAAATTAGCCCCCATAATAAAAAGCACAAAGCTTTGACCTCATTAATACCTTCAGAGCTGTTTTGAGGATTATATGTGTGATGCTCTCAGAATCCAGAAAATTTTAATATCAGGTCTCAAATTTACAGGCCAATAAAAAGTACTAATTGCTATTGTGTGTGAAAGCTAACATTTTCATATGTAAATCTTAGCTTAAAGTGATGTACTAAAAAGTATGCTATACAGAACGATCAATGTCACATGAGAAAATTCAGTAAAAATAACAAATGTATTTAAATACTTTATAACTTCCCCCAAAGAGCAGTTACTAGTCCAAAGTACTTTTTAAATGTTATCTTTTCAAAACATTTTAAAGGTATTTTTCAATATATTGACCTCAGTTGGAAGGATTTTTAAGGCATTGGAAAAGTGGTGTAAAATATTGTAATCCAAATAATAGTGATAAGGTGTTACTATTGGGTGTTATAGCTCCTATTTAAGTTAGTAGTTACTATGGTTAGTTGAACTTTTGTGGCTGCCTTGAGGTCCTGAATTAATTCAAAACCTTTGCCTTTCATGGTCATTTTGACTTTGGGGAATGGCCAGAAGTTCCACCATAGTGCTGGATCAGGTGAATAAAGCGGATAAGGACAAAGAGGAATGTTTTTATAAGCCTGCCTTTCTGTTGGATGGTACTTGGCAGCAGCATTCACTGTATTTTTTATCATGCCTCATAAAGACACACACAAAAAATTACTTCCTGGACTGCTTCAGAAAGTGGCAAGAAAATGGGGGTGTTGAGAGTGAGGGAGAGTATTTTAAGGGCAATTTATGGCAATGTGTCTTTTACTGTAATACATTTTTTTATTTAAACACACACTATTTTCAAGGAGCCTTTGTCCAGTTCCCCTAATGTTAAAATGCTTCTCTCTCAAAGGCCCATCTCTCAGGTCTGGCTCTCAGAGTTCCAATTCGAATAAAGACAATGCAAACACACACACAACTAGCCTAGAAGAGTTTTGGTGGGATAAACAGCTATGGGATATCAGAAAATAAGTAACATTTCCACCGGAAGGAGCATACAAATTAGAGAAATCTTAATGGAAAAAGTGATTTTTGAGGTTGTCATTATAGAGCATCTATAAGGGAGCTTGCCACCCAACCATGAGTACAATACACATCACTTGATATTTTTAACCACTTACTACTTTTCTGTGCATAGACTCACTGGTTACTCCAGAGGGTAATAACTGATGAAAGAATATGAAAAACATCTTCCTTTTGTAGTGAAATAAAATGGAATTAGATGTCAAAATTTGTCAGAACAATTTGCAAAAAATTAAATGATTCACATGCAAGGTTTAACAAGCATTTTTGTAAATCCACTTGTAAGCCAGATGTGGGGCAAATTTTTCTGCCCCTGGGAATTTTGTATTGCCTTGAACCACCAAGTTCATAATGTGGTGTTAGTATGAAGCCCTTTATAGTATTTCATTGGATATGCATATGCTTGTGTTTTCCTGGTTCCTGGTGTAACCAGTCTCTCCTGTCCATTCCTGTTTTCTTTTCTGTACCAGGCTTTGATTTGAATGGGAAACTTACACAAGAATTATAATTAATTTCTACCAAAATCTCACTCATATGATGAAAAGATAATGGGCTTGACCAAAGAAGGTGATACTAGAGAGAGAAGAGTAACGAGAAGGAAAAGGAAAAATCTGTTAATTTGATGAAATGATTAGGTGACCTGGAACACAGGAACAGAGGAAAACCCAGAAACCAATTCATGTAATAATGCCAATTTTATATCTTTACAGCTTGGCAATGATAAGGGGGATGAGAGGATAGTACTCAAATGGTATAAAAAAGATACAAGGAAAAAGAAAATGGATCTCTATACAGTACCCAAAAAATCAATTGCAGGTGCTTTAGGGACAAAATTATGTGCTTTACCTGCAAAGAGGAGATAAGCACTGTAATTGGTGGTTCTATTTGAATTCTATAACTGAATTTGGGGAGAAGCAGTACTCAAAAACAGCACAGGATAAAAAAAAATATCTATTATGCCGAAAATCTCAGCACCCTTCTTGAGTTCCTAGATCCAATTTTGCTTAAAACCGGCTGTATCTACTGTTCATACTATATGAGTCAATGATTTTCTTTTCATTGATTAAGGTAATTTTAATTGGATCATTATCCCCTTGCAATCTGACATTTGTAAGTCTTAGATAATATTCACAAACAATTTTAGTTTTATTTATAGAGATCCACATTGTTTTAACTTTATCACAAGTATTCCACATTTTTAAAAGGGATTTCTTCTCGTTACGTTATCTAGTTGTTACTTCTCATGTGTAAGAAAACTTCTTTTTTAGGTGTAGGGATTTAGCTCAGTGGCACCACTTGTGCCTGCCTTGCAAGCGCAAGGTCTCTGAGTTCGATCCCCAGTACCCAAAAGAAAAGAAAGCTGCTTTATATATATTGACTTTATATCTATATATCTTGGTGGATGCTGCGATTATCATGTATTAATTCACTTGAATTATATTGACATTCATTAATGTAAAAGCAACTGTTTTTTCTTCTCTTTTTAGTGTTTTATTCTCTTTTTCTTATTTTATTTTGTTGACCTGAACATTGAGAAAACTGTTGAATAGTACTTATAGTAGTATGCATCTCTTATTTCTTAATTTTTATATTATACTTTTCAGTATCTTACTTGCTAATTTGTTGTTTTTTTTTTGTACCAGGGATTGAATAGTCATGGTACCATTGCTGAAATCTTTGTTAAAAGGTAATGTCTATTCATAGTTTGCAAAGCTCTGTATTTTAAATATTACCCTTAAATATTGAATTTAAATTACCTTTCAGATTATATAATCATTTATCCTTTAAATGTATTGATTATAGTGATAAATTTACTGATATTCAAACATCTTTCTATTCCTAGATGAAGTTTCTTAGTTGTATTACTATTTTAGTAAAAATGTATTTAATTTACTAATATTTTTCCTAAATGAGATTGATATTCATAGTAGGATGGACCTTGTACAACATTTACCAATTTGGGAATCTGTATTAGGCGAGCTTTGTAGAATTAGAGTAAATGTAGTTGTTTACCATATGTTGAAGGTTTTTTTTATTTCTTTGTTGTATATGAAATCCCAGCCTGGCATCAAACTTACAGCCCACCTTTCATGAAAGATTTCACTGTAGCATATGATGATGTTTCATAGCATTCAGAGTATCTTCACCAGGAATAAATTCCATTTTAAGAAACAATTTTCTTTGCTGATCTTAAAAAGCAATTGTTTATCTGTTAAAG